CCAAACAAGGACATTGCGAGAGAGTTTCCCACTTCAATTTATTGTGTGATTTGAATACTCGTTTTTTAAATAAATCCACCAAGTAATTAATATGATTAGGTTAATTATATTTTTTATTTTTTTATTTTTTAAAACTATTATTATTATTATTATTATTATTATTATTTTATATATATATATATATATATATATATATATATATATATATATATATATATATATATATATATATATATATATATATATATATATATATATACTAGTTTTTTACACGCATTGCGCGATTGGGATAATGCCCAATTTTTTTTTTTTTAAATAAGTACTTTAAAGTATATTAAGGCAAGATTATATTGAAATTGTTCATGCATAGATAATTGAAGGTTGAATTGCGTATTTAAATAGGTAATTCTTCTCGCAAAGGTTGAGTCCCCAACCCCAAGGGCCCCCCACACTCCGACCCGACAGAGCATTGTGGGAAGTTGTAAATCACGGTGACTCAATGGTTCAGCAGACAGGACCAAATGCCGGTGCGAACAAGGAATCTACCCACTTTTGACATAATTCCCGCACTGCCGCCGCGAGGTTCAAACCTTGGTCTCTTTTCCCAAATACTGCCCACTAAACCATTGAGCTAAGCCCATGCGGGTTAAATAGGTAATTCTAAGTTTACAAATGCAAGATAATATAGTCAAGATTGATTATAATTGTCAACAAAATAATTGTATAGGTATGGTTGAAACCAAATACGGGACATAAGGGAGAACAAATAAAAATTAGGGCATAAAATATTAAATATATACTAATATTGTTTGAGGAGATTTCGACATTAGGATTTGTGGTTAAGTTCTATTAAGACTTTAATATTAGAATTAGATTAATGGTGTAATTATAATTCTATATTAGACGTTAATATTAGAATTAGACTAACGGTGAATTAACGGTATTTAACGGAAAAGTTAAATGGATAATCATATAATTAAGGATAAATTAGAAAAACATTAAAAAAAAATTAAAACCTGAACAATTTGAACCATTCATTTGATTTAATAATTTGACCGTACCCAATGTTAATAATTAAATAAATTCGTTGGTCAAATCCGCTAATATAATCCGCTAACTACTGATTGTCAAACAAGGACATTGCAAGGTAGTTCTCACTTCAATTTGTTGTGTGATTTGAATACTCTCTTTGTCACAAAATCTCTCAAGTAGTTAATATGGTTGGCTTTATTAATTATATATTTTTTTAATTTTTTCATGGTATTAATAAAATACTTGGTAAATAAATATATAGCATTATTTTGTATTATAACTTTGATATTTAATTAGAAAAATAGTGCACAAAAAAGATAATAGACAATGTAGTGAATATAATCAATTGATGAATTTGAATGTAAAAATTTTTACATTTGAGAAAAATAAAGACAATATAACTAATAATGAAAATATTTCTCTTAATTAATTTATTGATAATGAATAATTTTTTTTCACTGAATTAAGACATTGTAAGGACAATGTAGCGAATATAATCAATTAATAAATTTGAATATAAAGAATTTTTATATTGTAGAAAAATAAAGACAATATAACTAATACAATTATTTCTCTTATTTAATTTATTGATAATGAATAATTTTTTTTTTGAATAAAGGCATTGTGGACACATAATTCTAAATTAAAGAAATGCATATCTATAATTTTTTGTTGTAGCTACTAAATTATTATTTATATAATTTAATAAGAGTAAAATAAAGTACTAATTATGCCAACTTTGATTGGGATGAGGTTTGAACCTAAGACCTTTTTTTTTTTTTTTTTTTATTGAAATCAATGAGTAAGTTAACGGTGAACTAACGGCAATTCTTAAAATTTTAACGGAATTAGTAACGGTGTGTGGGTATTTTAGGAAATTTTAGTGTAAAATTTAAATCTTATCAATCTGAGCCATTCATTTGATGAAAATCTGTGACCGCCATTTTTTCTACCCATTATAGGTCTAACTCTCTTGGGCTCTTATTAGTATAGTAGATAGTAGATATATATATATATATATATATATATATATATATATATATATATATATATATATATATATATATATATATATATATATATATATATATATATATATACATAGGTCATTTTACATGTTAATCTAAATAGCTAATTTTTTCAAATATGTTTTTACCAACCGTTGGTATAATTTGCTGGTCAAATTCGCTAATACAATCCGCTAACGCTAACCACTAACAAATGATTGGCAAACAAGGACTTTGCGAGGTAGTTCTCACTTCAATTTGTTGTTTGATTTGAATACTCTCTTTGTCAACAAATCCCTGAAATAGTTAATATGATTGACTTTATTAATTATATTTTTTTTAAAAAAAATTTCATGGTATTAATAAAATACTTGGTAAATAAATATATAGCATTATTTTGTATTATAACTTTGATATTTAATTAAAAATAGTGCACAAAAAGATAATAGACAATGTAGTGAATATAATCAATTGATAAATTTGAATGTAAAGAATTTATATATTGGAGAAAATATAAAGACAATATAACTAATAAAATTATTTCTCTTAATTAATTTATTGATAATGAATAATTTTTTTTAATAAAGACATTGTAGGGACAATGTAGCCAATATAATCAATTGATGAATTTGAATGTAAAGAATTTTTATATTAGAGAAAAATAAATACAATATAACTAATGAAATTATTTCTCTTATTTAATTTATTGATAATGAATAATTTTTTTTTAATAAAGACATTGTACACACATAATTCTAAATTAAAGAAATGCATATATATTATTTTTTCTTGTAGCTACTAAATTATTATTTAATTTAATAAGAGTAAAATAGAGTATTTATTATGCTAACTTTGATTGGGATGAGGTTTGAACCTAAGACCTTTCTTATTGAAATCAATGAATAAGTTAACGGTGAACTAAAAACGCAAAAGATAATATTTAACGGAAAAGTTAACGGATAATCATATTCATTAAGGATAAATTAGAAAATCTTAAGGAAAAATTAAAATCTGATCAATCTGAGCCATTCATTTGATTAAAAAATTTGACCGCCATTTTTTCTACCCATTATAGGCCTAACTCTCTTGGGCTCTTATTAGTATAGTAGATTATATCTAACTTGAGTTATTCTTACAATATAATTCAATATTTTCCTTAGTTTCTTGTTTCTATGAAAATAATGTGCTTTAACATTATTCTAATTTTGATTTCCAGTGCACTTGTCAGAGAAGCAACACAAAAGGGATGAAAGTAATGAACTGAAATTAGAAAGGAAAAGGTTTTCTCTGTATTCATCAAGGCAATACACCGTGCTATCTATATTGGATACAAGAAAGCAGTTAGATGGTTTAGGAGGGGAAAACTAAATAAGCTAATTACAAAAGTTAGTTATGAAGTAGTTTGCTGAGCTGGTGAACCCCCATCTGTTGACACCCCCCCACAAGCTGGAGTATACATGGAGTGTAGGCCCAGCTTGGAGATGAAGTTGCAGTAGGTACTGAGGGCCAAAGGCTTGGTGAACACATCAGCTAGTTGATTAGTGGTTGTGACATGTAGCAGTCTGATGATTTGCTTCTGCAGTTTCTCCCTCACAAGATGGCAATCTATCTCAATGTGCTTTGTTCTCTCATGGAAAACTGGGTTCTCAGCTATGGCAATTGCAGACTTACTGTCACAGTATAGCATGGCTGGTGAATCAATGTATACTTGTAGGTATTGTAGGAGATAGATCAGCCATTGTATTTCACATGTTGCTGATGCAAGGGCCCTGTATTCTGCTTCAAAGGAACTTCTGGATATGGTTTGCTGCTTATTTGATTTCCAAGAAACCAAGGTGGAGTCTAGGAACATGCAAAACCCAGTAACAGATCTTCTAGTATCAGGGCATGCAGCCCAATCAGAGTCTGAAAAACCTTTGATCTGTAAAGAAGATGTTGCTGCAAAGAAAAGTCCTTGTCCAGGAGCTGCCTTAACATACCTCAATATCCTGTGAGCAGCTTGTAAATGTACATCAGTAGGGGAATCTAGGAACTGGGATAACTATTGTGTGGCAAAGCTTATGTCTGGTCTTGTAATGGTAAGGTATAACAACTTTCCCACAAGTTTCATATATTGGGTGATATCCTCCAATTTGTTGCCCATGTTTCTGCTAAGTCTTGGGGATGCCATCATGGGTGTTTTGGCTGGTTTGCAATGTATGAAACTAGATTCCTCCAGTAGCTCTATTGTATATTTTCTTTGTGTCACACAGATCCCTTTGTTGCTTCTGGCCACTTCTAGGCCCAAGAAAAACTTTAAAGAACCTAAATCCTTAATATGGAATACAGCATCCAAATGTGATTTAATCTGCTCTACTTGGCTTAAGTCTGGGCTAGCAATTACTATATCATCAACATATACAAGTAATGCCACAAAGTCATTACCTTGGCCCTTGTGAATAAGGAAGAGTTAGATACAGCTTGCTTAAAACCCATGCTTGAGAGTTCTTGGCTGAGTTTAACATTTCACTGTCTGCTAGCTTGTTTCAATCCATAAAGGGACTTAACCAACTTGCATACCTGACCAGGTCTAGAAACTGTGAAACCAGGGGGTAGAGTCATATATACTTCCTCATTTAAATCCCCATGTAGAAAAGCATTATTCACATCTAGTTGGTGAAGATTCCAACCCTTAATTGCAGCCACAACAAGCAGCACTCTAATGGTGGTTATTTTGGCTACAGGACTGAATGTGTCCAAGTAGTCTATACCAGGTGTTTGAGTGTAACCCTTGGCTACTAACCTAGCCTTGTATCTCTTAACAGTGCCATCAGCTTTAAGCTTGGTCTTGAACACCCATTTGCAGCCTATTGGTGTCTTGGATGGGGGAAGATCAGTGAGAATCCAGGTATTGTTCTCTTGTAGGGCACTAATTTCTGCTTCCATAGCTTTTCTCCAACAATCCTCTTTAATTTGATGGTCTCATTGTAAGTTCTTGGCTCTCTAGTACTCAAAGCATTAACAACAAAGACTTTGTATGCTTGTGAGAGATTATCATAAGATAGGAACTTAGATATATTGTGAGGAGATGTCCTTCTGACAGTGTTTTGACAAACATAGTCACTAAGGTAAGTAGGTTGGGACCTTACCTTGGTTGACCTTCTTGGTTCTGAGCTTGGTTCTGCATCATTTGTATCATTAGATCCATTTGAGTGGATTGGAACATCTGGTGAACCCCCAGGTAAGTCATCAGAAGGAGCCTCTATATTATGCAATGAAGTGTCTTCATCATATTTCAGGTTTGATATCCCTTCAGAAGGTAGAAGCATATCAAATGGCTGCTTATCATGTGAGTCCTGAAGAGGAAATATATTTTCATAAAATGAAACATCTCTTGATAATAAGACCTCCTTAGTCTGAATATCAAATAATTTGTAGCCTTTCACACCATTTGCAAATCCCAGAAATATACATCTCCTAGCTCTTGGAGAGAATTTGTCTCTTTTGTAGTTGGGAATGCTGGCAAATGCTAAACATCCAAACACATTAAGGTGTTGATATTGGGGAACTTTGCCAAAGAGTATTTGGTAGGGAATTTGATTGCCAAGAACTGCTGAGGGAATTTTGTTGATCAGATATACTGCATGAAGAATACAATCACCCCAAAACTGTTTAGGAAGACTAACCTGAAATCTCAAGGCTCTTGCTATGGACAAAATGTGTCCATGTTTTCTTTCTACAATACTGTTTTGCTGAGGTGTGTATACACAAGATGTTTGGTGAATGATGCCTCTTGTTTGATAGAAATTCTCCATAAGAAATTCTTTCCCATTGTCAGATCTTACACATATAATCACTTTCCCAAACTGAGTTTTGATTAGCTCATAGAAGCATTGTATAATCTGTCTTACTTCACTCTTCTTCCTCATAAGGTAAACCCAAGTGGATCTGCTATGATCATCTACCAGAGTTAGAAAATACTGATGACCATAGATAGTTGGAACATGATAGTATCCCCATACATCAGCATGAACAAGATCAAAACAGTTATTGGCAATGGATGAACTAGAATGAAAGGGCGGCTTTTTTGTTTAGCCAAATGGCAATATTCACAAGCTATTGGCTTATCATTACAAATTTTATTGTCTAGAGTGTGAAGGATCCTGATTTTGATTTCAGAAGCATGTCCTAGTCTAGCATGCCAAAAACTACATGTATTGGCAACAGGGAAATCAACAAAATTACATTGAGCAGAAACAGGGAAAACAAGATGATAGAGTCCTTTCTTCAGCTTAGCCAACCCAATCATCTTCCCAAGGTGTTGATCCTGTATAACACACTGATTAGTATGAAAAAGTGTGCTGCAATTTGATCTTCTTATAAGTTCCCCCAGAGAGATCAGATTATACTGAAATATGGGAACACACAATACATTTTCCAAGATTAGATTTGTAGATAGATGAACAGATCCAATGTGTGACACCTCTGCATAGTGTCCATTGGGTAAATCCACTTGATTTCCTTGTACTTTATTGGATGTATGAAATAGGTGATTACTACAGATAATGTGGTGTGTGGCACCACTGTCTATGATCCATATAAGCTCAAAATTGACTGTATGGATGAGAGAGTTAGCCAATTTACCTTCATATTGAGCATTAGGAATGAAATTGGCTGCCATCGCATTAGTCTGTAGTCTGATGGCTTTAGGAATAAAGTTGGCTGCCATGACATTAGCCTTTAGATTCAGATCAAGAGGAGTGTTGGTTCTGGTTCTTTCTTGCTGCAAGAATTCCAGAAACCTTCTGCAGTCTTCTTGGGTAAAAGGAGAACAGGTTTCTGAACTCCCACCCTCTTCCATAGAGCTTTGCACCGTGTTGACTGAACTCCCTTTGTTTCTTGGTTTCCAACCTGGTGGGTATCCGTGCTTCTTATAGCACTTCTCTACAGTGTGCCCCGTATATCCACAGTAGCTGCACATGAGCTTTTGTTTCTGGTTTGGGAAATTCCTTCTATTATCTGCCTTAGTAAAAAAACATTTGCTCCTATCATGTTGTCCCCACTGGGCATGCCGGACTCGATCTCTACCTACCTTTCCTGTTGTGAGAGCATGGAGCTAGAATGTCTCACCCACATCAGGCAATGGTTTCATCAACATGATTTGCCGCTTGGTAGTAGTATAGTTATCGTTCAAACCGGTGAGGAAGGCCGACATCATGTCATTCTCCAGATGTGTCTTCACCTTCTCAGATAGCTTGTCTCTGCACTCAGAGGTGGGAGAACATTCACAATTCGGGATTGGTCTCAACACGAGAAGCTCATCCCACAACAATTTCAACTGAGTGATGTATTCGTTTATGGTAGAGTTACCTTGTCTGATTTGGTAGATTTGTGATTGGATTTCTGCAATCCTAAAAACATCTTGTTGACTGAAGCGTTTATTCAAATCTTTCCATACGCCTTCAGCAGAATTGATCCAAAGGACGCTGTGAGCTATGGTGGGGGATACAAATCTTAGAATCCAAGATAGCACCATTGTGTTGCAGCGATCCCAGTAGTAGAACTTCGGATCGTTTATGCTTGGAACAGCTACAAGGCCGTTGACGGAAACTCATCTTGTTCTTGGATCTCAGAGCCATCTCCATGGCCCGTGCCCAAGAATGATAGTTGGATCTCCCTTCCAACTGCACTGTGACGAGCTGTAAAGTGGGGCTTTCGTTTGGATGAAGGTGTAGAGGGTTTGTCAAATCATTTGGATAAAAACCCCTGTCTGAGCTGCAGTAACGAATTGGATTAGGGATCTGGTTCTGACCTGATGAGGTAGCTGCCTGGGAATAGGTGGCTTGCTGAACCATGATTAAGCTTTGATGGATGAAGCCCTATTGGAGCTCTGATACCATGTTAGAGAAGCAGCACAAAAAGGGATGAAAGTAATGAACTGAAATTGGAAAGGAAAAGGTTTTCTTTGTATTCATCAAGGCAATACACTGTGCTATCTATATTGGATACAAGAAAGCAGTTAGATGGTTTAGGAGGGAAAAACTAACTAAGCTAATTACAAAAGTTAGTTATGAAGTAGTTTGCTGAGCTGGTGAACCCCCATATTGTTTTCTAATACTGGAATATATTTTCAGTGAACTGAAAAATAATATTCCAGTGCATTAGCAATGACGGATTGTATCCAAAAACTAACTATACAGTACTTGACACTTGTTCTCCAAATATTAACTATACAGATAGATGATTCTTCATCTTGTCAATAAAACATTCCAAGTGAGCTAACTAAAGAATCGTTGTGCAAAAAAAGCCAACTAATGTTTGATAATTAGTATTTAGTAGTGTGTTTGAACTTTCGATTGCTATTTTGTTATATAATGTTTAGACTTTGGATTTGGACTATGTGAATATGTATTGTATAGTAGTGTGTTTGTAAAATTAGGAAATATTAAAATTTGGGGTTCTTAAATCGAACCAAACCAATTCCGAGCCAAAACCGAAGTTTTTTCAAATCGAATTGAATCCGAACCGAACTATAATGTTAAACCGAATGGTATCATCTTTTAATACCGAACCGAAAAAAAGTCAAACCGAAGCCCGAAAGGCCCACCCCTACTTTGAACCTCCTTATAATAATAATAATAATAATAATAATAATAATAATAATAATAATAATATTATTATTATTATTATTATTATTATTATTATTATTATTATTATAATTTTATTTTGAATATTTTATTTTTATTAATAAAGTATTAAATAAAATGTTGGAAAAGATCAGAGACCAACGGCCAGAATATTTTAGTTTCTAAAGGCTTTATGTTTGAATTAGTCTTCTCAGAAACAAAAGATTCTCACCCTCTTGCAGAGCTGACCTCACCAAGAAGGACTGACCAATCCTCACACCTTAAGTCCTTAATCAACTCCCTAAAGGAGTTCAATGGGAACCATCTTTAAATCATTGTAAATCCCTTTTTCTATTAATGACATTATTAATTTATTATTATAATTATTATTAAAAAAAGATTTTGTGGTTGTTGCTTGATACGCACCCAGCCCATCCATATCAGTGATTCTTTTAAAATTTTGCGAAATGCCAAAACTCCAACCAATTCTATAGTCTTTAAATACTACATAATTTGATTATTGAATTCCCATTACAAGTGTCTAGTAAACCTTGGGTGACTTTTCTATTCCTTATTCTTAGACAAAGTTCTTTATATATATATATATATATATATATATATATATATATATATTATATATATATATATATTATATTTCATGGAAGCGGTTCAAAGTGTGGAGATGCTCTTAGGTGAAAGATGAGGTTAGATCTGAGCTATTAATCATCAAATCTAGATCAACAGCTCAAATCAATGAAAATTAAAAAAAAAAGGCTGAGTCCTCAATTAAGAAGAAAATTGTAAAAAATGACGCACATTAAAAATGAAAACAACGCATCTTAAAAGAAAACAATCCGCCTTAAGAATGAAAAAAACGCACCTTAAGAATGAAAAAACGCACTTTAAGAAGGAAAATCACGCATATAAAACTTTAAACCGACGCACCCTTAAAAAGGAAAACAATGCACCTTAAGAAGGAAAACCACGCACCTAAAGCTTTAATTAGGCCGACGCATCTTAAGTTTCAACAATTGACACACCTTAAGCACACAGCACAGAAACCACGGCACCTTAAATTTGACCTATATGCAAAAAGACCAAATTGTCACTGTGTTTTTTTAATCATATTCAATCTGGATTGTTGATTTTGATTAGATCAAGAGCTGATATTAAACAACATCTTTTACCTTAAGCCTATTACTGCGCATTTGATCTCTTATCTATATTTCATCAACATCAACCATATATGTTGCCAAGTCTTAGCCTGTAGGTCGTGTCATTTGGTATCCCAAAACCCACTCCTATGGTTGGAATAAATTTTGGAATATTCTTTACAATAATAGTCATGGCTCTCTCTATAAATTTAATTGAAATTATCATTGTATATAATAATATAAAACATTCATTATTATATGACCAAACCATATAATAAAAATATTACCTAATAATATTTCCTCAGATCAATTCAAGTACCTGCTGTTTTCCTTCTTCCATCTTATTTTCTAGTTCCAAATTAACTCAAACTGCTGCACAAGCTAAGTGTGATGGGGAGAGGAGTTGAAGACCACCCAAATCTACATGAACAACCCAAGGTGGAAGTTCCTTCAATTCTTCATCTATCCCATATTCAAAATTAATTTTCATATAAATTTTTAATTCTTTCCCAACAATCTAATCTTTGCTTTCATTTTATCATTAGGGTGAAATTGATGAAGAAAGTAGAGAATCCTTGTTACCTCCAAGACCCAAGTCACCAGCAAATCAGAACAGCAGACCCAGCAGCATGGTTGTTAAGGCAAGTTCATATCTATTGTATTGTTTTTTGATTTAATTATGATCATGATCATCATCTAAAAGTTTTGGTGTAAGTCTGTATTTGGATCACGAGGGGAACCACACAACCTTTTTGGGTGTAGGTAAACCCCGCCTTGTGTTCCTAGCCTGCGAAGGACCACAAAGAAGTAAACCAGTCTAGGTTAATTACCCACCGGCTCAAACCATAGGGGCAAAGATTCGAACTTGTGACCATGTGATTACAAGTGTGGATCTCTTGCCATTGATCTTGAGTGGGGTTACCCCGAGTAAGTGTGTATTTAGTTTGTTTTTTGTCAGACCACGAGGTGTCCTGACCAGGCCCTAACTGTAGCAGCATGGTACGGGCTTAAGGTGCCTCATACAGTTAGGTACCTTTAAGCCCGAGTAAGTGTATTTAGTTTGTTGTTTGATTGTTTGAATGAAACAGAAAGCACATACTGTGATTCCAGCTCACTTGGTGGCAGAAGCCATATCCACACTCCATGGGCTTGATCTAAGATGGTCTGGACCAATCACACCAAGTGAGATGCAGTATGTACAGCAGTATGTGTTTGCAAAGTACCCTGAATATTGCAATGGCCTTGTAGAAGATGGGGACAAGCTTGATCTCTACACTCTTTGCATAAACAATGATGAATCTTTAGACAAGGGAAAATCACCAAGAAGGGAGGCCTCTTCACCTTCTTTCACTCATAACACTAGTGCTTCAGAACTGGGAAGAATCCAATTGGAGCCTTCGAGATTACTGGATATTCTCACCAAGAAAACTTCATTCCAAGGGAACTTCATTTCAATCCAGAAATCCAAGTTCGAAACCGGGCACTGCAACACTGTGGGCTAAGTGAGGATGAATATCTGGTGGTTTTCACGCCAACAATCAAAGAGGCCATGATGATGATAGGGGAATCATACCCTTTCTTCAGAGGGAACTATTACCTTACAGTTCTTGGTGGGGAGGATTATGACTGCATTCGAGAATTCGTGGTGTTTAAGGACTCAAAGGTGATTGCAGCCCCGGAAACATGGCTGGACTTGAGGATCAAAGGGTCTCAGCTCAGTCAGTACTTCAGGAGGAAGTGTAAGCACAGCCCCAAGGGGCTCTTTGCATACCCGGCTTATGTGAACGAAACGCGATACTCTATGCATTGGATCTCAGAGGCTCATAGGAATTCTTGGCATGTTCTGCTTGATGCTTCTGAGTTGGATGTTGGCAAGGACAGGTTGTTGACACTGGCATTGCACCGCCCGATTTCGTGTTGTGTACTGTTGATAACACCCATTCTCACCCTTCAAAAATCACCTGCCTCTTAGTAAGGAAACAATCCTTTGATACTACGTCTTCTTCATCATCACCTTCAGCTTAGACCACTGTACTACAATTATTATATTCCTTAACCATTTGTTTTCTGTATTTGTAATAACTGTTGCACTTTTTTGAAAAAACAAAACAAAAGCAGGCCCTCTTCTTCGATTGTAAAACTACACCTTCTCATATGCAGTACTATTATGAACACAAATGCCCTCTACTAGTCGTCTACTTTGGTTAATTTCAAATTAAATGAATGTATTGTACCTCTGTTGTATATGAATGTTTAATAATTACTCATGTGCTTTCCATGTGTATTTCTTTTTAGTTTTACCCTTCTGGCATGAAAATTGTACCATTGGAAGTCTCACCGGCCTGTCTTAATTTCTCACTTTTTACTTTTGTTGGGACTTAGACTAATGACATGATTTACCACTTCTTAGATAAAGTGTTTACCACTAAAAACTATAGCTCATAGTGGTCCGATTTACCTCTTGTTAGATAAAGTGCTTACCACAAAAAGTTAGCAAAGGCACAACTTTTATATATATATATATATATATATATATAATATATATATAGACGGATCAGGTGAGGACCTAATCTTAGGTGAGGACGTGAGGACTAATCTTGTGTGTTTGTTGTTTTATTTGGATGGTCCAGATTTGAGTTCTTGAGATGATATGGATTGATCTTTTTTTGTTAAAGTGGGATAATAGTGTCTTTTTCTATTTTTTTTAAGTGTGAACGCATGTATAATCCTTGGCCAAATTGGTTTCCTATTTTCTTGGATCATCACCGTTGCAATTTGGAGCCGCGATTTCTTCATCATTGATTGAGTGTTTGCCTATGCAAACTAATCAGTATTTTTTTTTCTTTGCTTGTTCTTTTGAGTATAATATTGTCTATATTTGGATTGTCGTGTATATGTATAAATGCCTGGGTAGTACGATTGTGCATTCGTGTGTGCTGATTGTGCACTATAGGCTAGGGAGTTGTGCATTATAGCACATAGTTCAATGCATCGTAGAACATTGGATGTTCACTGTATGATTTTTTGGCGGAGTTTGAATGCACACAATGAAGTTATTGATGCACAACACTCAGT